GGGAGGGAAGGGAGGGGAGGGCAGGGAAGAGGGAAGAGAGGGAAGGAGCGAACAGGTGGACAGGTTCAATTACTAGCCCGAAATCAGACAATTTATTTAAGGGCCAAGACCAGGATGTAAATCAGGCAGCCTGACCCAGGATCGTTGTTTTTCCCCGCTTGATATGCTGCCACTACACAAGAAATGTCTAAATAAGGAAACCCCTGCAGATTGTTTGCTGAACACACAAATGAAAACTAGGGCAGGGGATTGTCAGGAAAGGCTTCTTGAAGGAGGTGGCACAAGATCTGACACTACAACAATGGGCAGGATATAGACAGACAAGATGGCAAGAGAAAGGAGAAGAATTCCACTGCGGTGAACGAGGGCTGCCACCCATCTTCTGGGTGTGTCATATGCCCCAGACAATGCTCATTCCTCCCACCCTCTGCCTCTATAGTCTTCCCTGGGCATTCTACATGCATTGCCAAGGCCCCCAGGCACCTACCACAGGTCACTTTGCCTTCGGAGGAAGGTCTGGCAGGCTCCGGCTGCTGCTGGGGTGCTGCTGGGGCCCCTCTCCGCCGCCGTCTGGCACCACCACTAGGCCGACCCCGACTCCGCCGCTGCCGCTTGGTTGGGGGGGAGCCTGAGGAGAAAAAAATGAGGCAAGCTGAGGACCAAGATGACAGCTAGAGTGCCCAGATAGATGCCTGGAAAAGAACTCAAGATGGTCTCAGTACTAAGCCCCTGAGTGAGCCCCACTGTCTCCCTTCCTCAGTGGCCCTGTCTGAAAGATGAAGAGTACCATACCTAGCATCATCTAAAAGGGCAGATAAGGACACCCCACCTGCTACAGCAGGCCCACTCCAGGTGTAACCCTAGAGAAATCCCTGTACACTTACACCAGGAGACAAACACAACAACCCCCACCAGGGTACGGTTAATCGTGATGAAAATCAGAGACAACATATACGGCAAGAAGAAACAGGAATACAGGGTGATCTCCAGGACAGACTGTTTAGGAAAATAAAGCAAGATATAAAATAAGTGTCTACAGTGTGCTATACTTTGAACAAAAAAGGAGGGAAAGAAAGATGATATGTATGTGCAAAATGAAACACTGAAAGAATAGACTAGAAATGAATGAACTCGGGATGGTGGGAGCCCAACAGTAGAAATGACATATCTAAAAATACCTTATTTTCATACTTGGTTTTTTTTTTGAGATGGATGGAGTTTTGCTCTTTGCCCAGGCTGAAGTACAATGGCATGACCTCAGCTCACTGCAACTCCCGCCTCCCGGGTTCAAGCAATTCTCCTGCCTCAGGATCCTGAGTAGCTAGGATTACCACCAGGACACCCAGCTAATTTTTTGTATTTTTAGTAGAGACGGGGTTTCACCATTTTGTCCAGGCTGGTCTTGAACTCCTGACCTCAGGTGATCCACCCCCAGCCCTTGGCCTCCCAAAGTTCTGCCATTACAGGCGTGAGGCACCAAGCCTGGACCCACACTTCAGTTTTGTCTTTTGACTCATGTAACTGATTTACACATTTAAAATGTTGTAGGGAAATAAAACATGAAATTAACACAAAGAGGCTGGACACACAGTGGTTGCCGCCTATAATTCTAGCACTTTGGAGGCAGCTGGATCACTTGAGATCAGGAGCTCGAGACCAGCCTGGCCAACATAGTAAAACCTCATCTCTGCTAAAAATACAAAAATCAGCTAGGAGTGATGGTGCCTGCCTGTAATCCCAGCTACTCGGGAAGCTGAGGCAGGAAAACCACTTGAATCCAGGAGGCAGAGGCTGCAGTGAGCCGAGATTGTGCCACTGAACTACAGCCTGAGCAACAGCATGAGACCGTCTCAAAAAAAAATTAAAATAAAAAACACAAACAGAAGAAAATGAACCTGGCCGGATGCTGTGGCTCATGTTTGTAATCCCAGCCTGCAGCCCAGGAGTTCAAGACCAAGCTGGAACCTGGGCAACATGGAAAAACCCTGTCTCCATTTTTTTTTTTTAAAAGGCCAGGCACAGTGGCTCACGCCTGTAATCCCAGCACGCTGAGAGGTCGAGGCGGGCAGATCATGAGCTCAAGAGATTGAGACCACCCTGGCCAACATGATGAAACCCTGTCTCTACTAAAAATACAAAAATTAGCTGGGCATAGTGGCAGGCGCCTGTAGTCCCAGCTATTTCGGAAGACTGAGGCAGAAGAATTGCTTGAACCCAGGAGGCAGAGGTTGCAGTGAGCTGAGATCGCACCACTGCACTCCAGTCTGGTGACACAGCAACACTGCCTTTCAAAAAAAGAAAAATTTAGGCCAGTCCTGGTGGCTCACGCCTGTAATCCAAGCACTCTGGATGCCAAGACGGGCAGATCACCTGAGGTCGGGAGTTCAATATCAGCCTGACCAACATGGTGAAACCCCGTCTTAAAAAAAAAAAAAAAAAAAAAAAAAAAAAAAAAAAAAAAAAAAAAAAAAAAAAAGACAAATTTAAAATTAGAAAAAAAAAAAATCAGCCAGGTGTGGTGGCATGTGCCTGTAGTTCCAGTTACTCACGAGGCTGAGGTGGGATGACTACTTGAGCCCAGGAGGTCTAGGCTGCAGTAAGCAGTGATTGCACAACTGGACTCCAGCCTAGGAAACAAAACCCCTCAGAAAAAAGAAACAAATAAGCCTGACTGTATACACAATTAGTAACATGAATACTCAGATAAAAGAATTATTTCAAGTAACTTGAAGAAAATTCTGACTGTAAAATCTCAATGGGATATGCTCAGAGAACAAGAACCACAAATAAAATCTGTTTCAATTACTAGATACAGTAAGTAGTTGTAGTGACTTTGTTATTTTGATGCTATTTCATTACTGTTGTAAAATAAATTATGCAAATCCACATCTCAATGTTATTAAAAGCAAAGACTTTCAGTATAAAAAATCTGGCTGGGGTCTGGCAGCGACTAATGCCTGTAATCCCAGCACTTTGGGAGGCCATGGTGGGCAGACCACCTGAAGTTGGGAGTTCAAGACCAGCCTGACCAACATGGAGAAACCCTGTCTCTACCAAAAATACAAAATGAGTTGGGCATGGTGGCACTACTAATTACAGCCTCCTGGGTAGTAATCCCAGCCACTCAAGAGACTGAGGCAGAAGAATCACTGAGGTTGCAGTGAGCCAAAACTGTGCCACTACACTCCAACCTAGGCAACAACAGCGAAACAGTCTCAAAAATAAATAAATAAAAATAAAAAAGTCTGGCTGGGAGTGGTGGCTCACGCCTATAATTCCAGCACTTTGGGAGGCCAAGGCAAGCAGGTTACCTGAGGTCAGGAGTTCAAGACCAACCTGGCCAACATGGTAAAACCCCATCCCTACTAAAAATACAAAGTTAGCCAGGGGTGGTGGTATATACCTGTAGTCCCAACTACTCGAGAGACTAAGGCGGGAGGATCGCGTGAACCTGGTAGACAGAGGTTGTAGTGAGCCAAGATCGCGCTACTGCACTCAAAAAAAAGTCTGGCCAGACACGGTGGCTTATGCCTATAATCCCAGCACTTTCTTTGGGAGGCCAAGACGGGTGGATCACCTGAGATCAGGAGTTCCAGACCAGCCTGGCCAACATGGCGAAACCCCATCTCTACTCAAAGTACAAAAATCAGTCGGGCGTGGTGGCGGGCGCCTGTAATCCCAGATACCAGCTACTCAGGAGGCTGAGGCAGGAGAATTGCTTGAACCCGCAAGGCAGAGGATGAAGTGAGCCAAGATCATGGCATTGCACTCCAGCCTGGGTAACAGAGCGAGACTTCGTCTCAAAAAAAAAAAAAAAAAAAAAAAAAGTGTAATGTTTTTGTTTCTTTGTTTAGAGTTGGGGTCTTGTTCTATTGTCCAAGCTGAAGTCCAATGGCATGCCACTACGCCCAGCTTTTTTATTTTTTCCGAGACAGGTTCTTGCTCTGTCACCCAGACTGGAGGGCAATGACGTGATCTCAGCTCACTGCAAGCTCCACTGCCTCGACTCAAGCAATCCTCCCACCTCAGCGTCCTGACTAGCTGAGACAACACACATACATCACCACGCCAGGCTAATTTTTTGTACTTTTTATAGAGACAGGGTTTTGCAATGCTGGCCTCAAACTCCTGGGCTGAAGCAATTCTCCTGCCTCAGCCTCCCAAAGCACTAGGATTACAGGCATGAGCCACCACACATGGCTTTAATGTTAATTTTAAATTTAAAATACTAACAGAAACTTTTTGAAAAGTAAAGTCTCTAGCACTGTTCACCGAAAGAACCTAGAAACATTACACACACTCAGCAGCCAGGTTTTGGTCTCTAAATACCACAACTACCTTGAAAAACAGCTGATTCTAAGGTGGGGAAGGGAAAGTTCAAAATGAGCCGAGGACATCTTGCAGTGCCACAAAGCAGGAAGCACCCAAAGAATGATATAAACACATGAAGAAGACACAAGAGGCTAGTCAACTGGAACTGAGGAAGAATGACTGACTGTAACAAGTCAATAAATAGTGAGTCTGTAGTGATACTCAAACTCAAAGGGGCACTAGGGGAATATCTCTTGAAAGAATTCCAGCTAACAGAGAAGGAAAAAACAAATTAGAAAAATCACTATTTTGCAAATACCAATATGATAACTGGTTCAGGCAGAGCTCACAGATGCAAAATCCACTGAGTAAATGGCTATTAGGGAACAGGACATGCCAAAGTACCACTCCACAGACTGCTTACTAGCCATAAGAACTAAATGTCCCTTCACAATGGACAAACAGGGCAGCTATCCCCTTAACCGAGTGATCAAACTTTCCCACACAGGAAAAGCCAGGCCTTACATGCCTGGGGATGTACTCCAATATGAACTAGATGGCAGCAACCAAAGACTATTCCTGTCAAAAACGTATAAACTGAATCTAAGCAAGTCTCGGACACGATTCCCATTTAACAAGAAATGTAAAGGAAACAGAGGCAAGTTAAATGACTCCATCAGGAAATAGACAGAGAAACAATCAGGACATTCTACAAAACAACCAGCCTGCGAGGGTTAATAAATCAATGTTACCGGGGGAAAAAAAGGTATAGGATGTAGAGGGAGTTCGGCAGGAGACTAAGGAGACATAACAACTGAATACATACCAACTCAACTATGAACAGATTCTGAACGGTCCCACAATCTGGGGATATTTTTAAATAAACCATTAGAATATCAGGGAATTCATGTTTATTTTCTTAGGTATGATAATGGTCATAAAGAGGTATAGGAGAATATCTTTATTCTCCATGGATGCCTAATTTAGGGGTAAAGCATCCTGATGTCTGTGATTTACTTGCAAAGGTTTCAACTAAAAAACGAGAATTACATACACACATAAAGCAAAAGTGGCAAAATCTTAAGAATTACTGAAACTAAGTAAATGTTTACTGTACTAATCTTTCAGCTTCTAAGTTTGAAATTTCACATAATAAAAAAATGAGAAGTGGGCAGGGCACAGTGGCTCATGCCTGTAATCCCAGTGCTTTGGGAGGCTGAGGTAGGTGGGTCTCTTGAGGCCAGGAGTTTAAGACCAGCCTGGTCAACATGGTGAAACTCCATCTCCACTAAAAATACAAAAAAATTAACTGGGCATGGTGGCATGCCCCTGTAGTTCTAGCTACTTGGGAGGCTGAGGCAGGAGAATTGCTTGAACCTGAGAGGTGGAGGTTGCATAGAGCCAAGATCACACCACCACACCCCAGACTGGGTGACAGAGTGAGACTCTTGCCTCAAAACAAACAAAGAGTGGCTGGGCATGATGACTTATGTCTGTAATCCAGCACTTTGGGAGGCTGAGATGGGAGGATCGCTTGAGGCCATGAGTTTAAGACCAGCCAGGTCAAAAACAGGGAGACCCTAACTCTATAAAGGATGAAAAAATTAGCCAGGCATGGTGACATGCACCTGCAGTCCAGCTCCTTGAGAGGCAGACGCGTGAGGATAGCTTTAGCCCAGGAGTTAGAAACTGCAGAGAGCTACGATTTCTCCACTGTCAGACCAAGCCCCTATCTTGGAAAAAACAGACCAAAAAAAAAAAAAAAAAAAAAAGAAACTGAGCCAGTGAGGAGAATAAGTTAATTGGGGCATGGCAATTAAAAGAAACCAATTAGACACTCAGCATGAATAAATCTCAGAAACATGTCTGGCAAAAATAGCCAAGTACAGAGTAATACACACAATGTGATACCATTTAAATGGAATATGAAACCATGTGCAACAAATTCTGTATGTTGCTTCAGAACAGAGTTTCTGTAGCCATGAAAACACACACACACACACACACAGTGAAAATAAGAATAACCCCTCAGGCCCCTTCCTTGATGGACACAGTTCATAAGGAAAAGAGGGGTGCTGCCATCACACCTACCCAGCTGGGCTTACCTGTCTCCCACTGACCCTGCTGAGAATTTGCAGAACTGCTTGACTGCCGACGGCGACGGCAGCTACCCTCTGTCCTCTTTGAAGAGCTGGAGGTGCCATAGCTATAGCGTTCTGGAGACACTGGAGGAAAAGAAGAATGGGAAGAAGCAGTCAGCCTCCTGGCCCTTATTCCCACCCCTGGAAGAATGCCTGCACCACAGGGTGCCTAAGTTCCCCAGAGGTCAAAGCCCAATATACCTACTCACTCTCCACCTCCAGCAGAGGTTGTTTCCTGAGACAGAGAACTCATCACCACTTTCGGCAATCTAACTCATGTCTACAGCAGCTCAAACTGTCAGCGTTATTCTGTCAAGGACAGGACCCCTGCAGTGGCCCTTGGCCTTTGAATCAACTGCCCCCAGCTCTCACCAAGCAGTAAGCAGCCTCTGTGCAGGTTCCCAAATCCATTCTTCTAGAGCCTGATCTTCAAACATACATATCCCAAAACACTGTCAGCTCTTCCCTACAGCTGTCTGTCTCCTGCTTACCTAAATCCTGTGGGCTAACTCTAGGCCAGGGAAGGCCATAATCTCCCCTACCCAAACTAGCCACTGCACCTTTAGTAACCCAGACAATGGTTCGAGAGTCTATGCATGCACAGGACAACTGGCAGCCTGAACCCCTCCCAGCTTCTCACCTCGAGACTGCTATCCTTCGGGGGCACTTCCTTCACAAGGATTAAGGACATCAACTCTGGGAACAAGCTGGCTGGGTTTGAAACCTGGCTCCCACACTTGCTATCTATGTTCTCTGCAAGCCCCTTCATGACATAACTTCTCACCTGCCTCTCTCCCCTAGCTTAGGTCCCCTCTGCTCCTGCCACACTGGCCTCTGATGATGCCAAACTCATTCCCACCTCAGGCCTTGGATGCTCCCTTGGGATTTTCTCCCCTAGGGCCTATGCATGGCTGGCAGGGCAACCTCAAGGCAAAGCCTCCCTTCACCTTGCTGCCCTCCTGACTCTCTCTATTCCATTACTTTTAGTCTTCCTACAACAGCATCTAAAAGTAAGTTCTCTGCCTTATTGTCTCATTGCCCCATTAAACTTCATGGAACAAACACCTTGTCAGCCCCATCATCCTGTATTCCCTAGGCCCAGCAAACAGGATTGTTATTATATATGCAAACTGCTTAACTTCTCTGAACTTGGTATCTTCCCAGTTCCGGAGAAGACAGTAACAAGACTTCCTTGTGGGATTACTGGGAGGCTATATGGTACTAGTTTACATGAAGGGCTTACAGCTGTGCCTGGCAGGAAACAAGCCCTCCGTAAACAGGAGCCATAATCATCATCACTGATGTGGCCAAATTCCACTAGCTCACCCCTCCCAAAGCCAGGCTTCCTCCCTCTTGTGTTTCTCACTGATATTGTGGGAAGAGGGAGGAGTGGAATGGGACGTAAGCTGCCTGATATGGCACTGTCCATATCAGAGCACCAGGGAGACCCAGCGGGAGCCAGGCCCTCTCCTCCCAGGAAGTGTGACACCCTCCCATTCAACCGTACCTGGCCGGCGCCGCTTGCGCGCCAGGTGCGGCAGCAGGTCGTGGCGGGCCAGCACGCGCAGGAGTTGCCCCAGCAGCCGCAGATTGCTCTCGTCGCACTGCCCGCGGCGCTCCAGCTCTAGCAGGAGCTCTAGGCCGCTGCGGGCCCGGGCTAACCCGCCGGCGGCGCCAGGGGCCTCGTCCAGCAGAAAAGCCAGGAGCTCCAGCTCGCACTCGGTCAGTTGCCCGCCCACCACCTCGAACATACGGTGAAGCGACAGCATCCCGTAGTAGTCCAGGCACTCATCCTCCTCCCAGCACGGGGCCGGGGTCGACCCGGATAGCGCCATTCCCGGGGGAGGGAGGCGGAACAAGCTCAGAACCCGGCCTAGAACCCACACAGCGAGGAGGGGGCAGTGGTCAGCGACGCGGAGGCCCGAACCCCACACCGCCAGCGCGTCTCCCCCGCCCCGTCGCGCCGGGCAGGGCCGCACCCGCACCCCCAACCGCCTCGGCCTCCCCCTCCCCCAGGAGGGAATGGCCCCGCCAGAGGTCCCCTAGGAACAGATCGGGACGCCAGAGCCCGCTTGGCTTCTGCCCCCTCACCGTGGTACGTTCCAAGCTCTCCTCCGGCCCCGACAAGCCTCGGGGCCCACCCTGGGGCTCCCTGCCGACTGCCCCTGACTCTGGATAGGACTGACCAGACGAGCCGCTTGGCTCCGTGCAGTGGTACCGTCCGATGAGTCCACCGGCTCTACGCAAGTGGTACCGCCCGAAAGTGACCCTCTGCCCCCTACACGGAGGAGCGACCCAGGAAGTCACTTTGCTCCACACAGGTGGTACCGTCCGAACCCGACACCCTCGCCCTGCAAGGGCGGCCCCGCCGGCTCCCCAGCGCCCAGGTGGTTCTATCTACCCGCCACCAATCACCATTAGGCCTCTCTGAATCCTCACCAGAGTCTGGCGTCCAGTGACTCCTGGGCGACGGCTGCAGCCACTTGTTTTGGATCTTTCTGGCACCTTCTCTATTATTACGCCTGCGTCACCTCGCCCCGCCTCCTTCCCCCAACTCGCGCAGGTGCGAACGCCACGCCCCTTAAGCGCATGCGCAGAACGGGGCCCCCAAGCCCCGCCCCCAATCGAGGCGTCTTGGCTCACGGGTGCTGCGCTTGCGCAGAGCGAGAGCGCGTAGCTTCGAGGGCTGTATCTGATACCCGATTCCAAGCACCTACCTAATGCCCGTGACTCAAGCCACCGGGGCCCTGTAGCACCACGTCACGAGTAGTTGGAACTATCCATCCCATGGACTACAGCCCCCTCCTGATCACAACCTAGACGCCCACCTCACCACTGCCCCTACTTGCCCGTGGCAAACGAACACAAGCACTATACATTCTCGGCTCCCAGTAACTCCCAGGCCTTATATGATCTGGTCCTGGGCACTCTCCATTAGATTGTCCCTCACTTCTAGTGACAAGAAGGAATCTACATCTCACCTATGCTGTCTCATGATCCCAACTGGAAATCCCCTCCCCATCCCAATCTATAAGTCCCTTCCCCTGATAGAGACCAGAACTCCCTAATGTCACCTTCAGGACCGATACCTCCTCCCAATCCTTCCAAGCCGCAACAGAACCTTCCTTTCCGACTGTGGACATCTCGATGGCGTCCGTCACAATCCCCATCACAGTCAGACGTCTCCACCCAGAGCCAAAAACGGCCCCTCTGTAACCTCTCCCAATCTCTGTCTAACGGGGTCGCCAAGATATCCGTTCCCTAACTTGCAACAACTACAGAGGATCTTCCGAGGAATCAGCGTCTAGGCTGTGGTGTATCTGCGTCTCCTCACTGTGGGGCCTTGGGTGTGATGGCCACCCCGCTCCCCGCTTAGGTGATTCAAGGTCAGGGCCTGCCCTTGCTTGAGACCAGCACCCTCCCTGGACCGGTTCCCATGCCCAGAATTAACTCCTCTTGGGAGTCGGGAGACCTGGGTTCTGCCTAGCACTGGCCCAATACTGACTCTGCTTGAGCCGCAGCAGCGAATTCAAAAGACTCGGAAAGCTCACATCTGTAATCTCAGCACTGTGGGAGGCCGAGATGGGCAGATCACACGAGGCCAGGAGTTCTAGACCAGCCTGGCCAACAAGGAGAAACCCTGTCTCTACTTAGCCGGGCGTGGTGGCACGCGCCCGTAATCCCAACTACTTCGGAGGCTGAGGCAAGAGAATCGCTTAAACCAGGGAGATGGAGGTTGCAGTGAGCAGAGATCGCGCCATTGCACTCCAGCCTGGGCGAAAGGGCGAGATTCTGTCTCAAAAAGCAAACATAACCCCCAAAAAATCTCTTCCCCTCTCTGGGCCTCAGTTTTCCTACTTGTGAAACAAATGGATGGCAATGGTAAGCTACGGAAGCATAGTCCTGGGCTAAACTCACAAGGGCCACCCGGTAAGTGACTATCATTAAATCAAACGAAGAGTAGGAAGAATAGGAAAGCAATTTAACAAACTGTGAAGGAATCTGTCTTGCTAGGTGAGTTGTAGTGGGCACCTACGGTGTATGAGCGCTGTGCATGTGTGATATCCAATCCCCTTTGAAGTGGCTGTGACTCAAGCCCACTTCACACCGATAAAACTTGAGGCCCGGGGAGGAGAATTTCCAAGTGTCTCGGGCTCCAAAACTGTATTCTCAGAAATGCTCAGTCTTTTCAGCTTTGAAATGACACCTCTGTCAAGGTCTCCCGCCGCTCAGCTCACTTCATGGGCCCAACGCTCACCAAAGGTTGTCCACATCTCTTTATTGAACTTTCAGACACTTAGCCGGGCGACCCAGAGAACTGCGCAGGCGCGTCTCCGCGCCCTGAGCCCCGCCCACAGGGCGCAGTTGTGTGCGTGGATAACTCCGGAGCCCCACCTGAGTGGCAATACGCAGGCGCAAGGTCGCGTGCCCTGCGCTGCGGGCTCTGATTGGCCTCCACGGATAAGGGCACCGCCCAATGGGAGGTGTGGATAGTGAGGGGTCCCACTCGCCTGGAGCGGAGGGTCTGTGTCAAGAGCTGCAGGGGCTGCAGGAGATAAGAGAAACGGGTGAGGGCGCCGCGGGGCGGGACAGGGAAGAGAGAGCTGGGCGGACGGAGAGGGCGGAAGGAAAACTAAGGGGTCTGCGGGTGTCTAAGAGCCGTGGGGCCTGCGCTAGAGCAGGAGCGGCGCGGGCTGGAAGGAGAGCGTTCCTTCCTGTGTGCCCTCGGGCTCCTTTAGTGTGCGGGAGCCTACGCTGGAACTCGCCCACCGCCCACTGCTGGGAGCTCTCACCCTGCGGAGGAGATGAGTCTGGTAGGAGAAAAGCGTTGTGAAGCGGGAAAGTCGAATTCCCAGGTCCCTGCTGGGTTCCTTTCTGGAAAGACTTCATGTTAGCTACTGTGTGAAAAATCCCCAATCCTTCCCCGAGTAGTTCACAGTTCAAGAATGGCAAAAAGAATCTTAGACAAGGAAAGGGCAAATTTCAAGTCTCCCGGGCCACCTCGTAGACATTTATTGGGTACCTGCTTTGTGCGAGCTTTGCAGTAGGCATTGGGCCTCGCCCTAACAGAGTTTTCTCTTGGAAGTGGAGCTGTAATCAAGGAAATATGGAACTCTCGGGTCCCTGTTTGCCTGCTTCCAGGAAGATCCTTTATGGAATGGCTGTTGTGTGCAGGGGCCTGGCAACTCAAAAATTAGGAAGGGGATTAGAATAGTAGATAAGGAAAGTTTAGCTCCTGGTCCTCTAGTGAATAATTTACTCAAGGAGTATTCATTGGGCATTAACTGAGAGCAGGGCCCTATACTGGGCTGTGTATTTTGGGAATTCACAGTCTAATGAGAGAGTTGGTCTGGTAGAATGGTAGAAATGGACTGTGCACAGGGGGACAGTTCTACTCAGGGTCGGCCAGGCACGGTGACTTACACCTGTAATTCCAGCGCCTTGGGAGGCCTAGGTGGAAGGATTGCTTGAGCCCAGAAGTTCAAGACCAGCCTGGGGGCTGGGCGCGGTGGCCCACGCCTGTAATCCCAGCACTTTCAGACGGATCATGGGGTCAAGAGATCGAGACCTATCTGGACCACAGCAGAAAAAAAAAAGAAAAGAAAGAGATCGAGACCATCCTGGCCAACACGGTGAAAACCCCGTCTCTACTAAAAAAATACAAAAATTAGCTGGGCGTGGTAGCACGTGCCTGTAGTCCCAGCTACTGGGGAGGCTGAGGCAGGAGAATCACTTGAATCTGGGAGGTGGAGGTTGCAGTGAGGGAAATCGCACCCAAAAAAAAAAAAAAAAAAAAGACCAGTTGGGCAACATAGGGAGACCTTCTGTCTACAAATAATTTAAAAATTAGCCAGGGACAGGGTGTGGTGGCATACTCCTTTAATCCCAGCACTTTGGGAGGCCACGGGGGGTGGATCTTTTGAGGTCAGGAGTTTAAGGCCAGCCTGGGCAACATGGTGAAACCCCATCTCTACTAAAAATATAAAAATTAGCCAGGTGTGGTGGTGAATGCCTCTAGTTCCAGCTACTCAGGAGACTGAGCTGGGAAAATTGCTTGAACCCAGGAGGCAGAACTCCAGCTGGGGCGGGAGAGTAAGACTCCATCTCAGAAAAAGTAAAATAAAATAAATTAAAATAAACTTTTGCCAGGCATGGCGGCAGATACTTCTGGTCCCAGTTACTCAAGAGGCTGAGGCAGGAGGATCTCCTGAGTCCAGAAGGTGGAGGCTGCAGTGAGCCAAGATCGCACCATTGCAGTACAGCCTGGGCAACAGAATGAGACTCTGTCTCAAAAAGAAGAAAAAGCCTGGGCTCAGTAGCTCATGCCTGTAATCCCAGCACTTTGGAAGACTGAGGCGGGCAGATCACCTCAGGTCGGGAGTTTGAGACCAGCCTGACCAACTATGGAGAAATCCCATCTGTACTAAAAATACAAAATTAGCCAGATGAGGTGGCTCCTGCCTGTAATCCTAGCTACTCGGGAGGCCGAGACAGGAGAATCGCTTGAATCTGGGAGGCAGAGGTTGCAGTGAGCTGAGATTGCTCCATTGCACTCCAGCCTGGG